CAGTTGGTGCTTATATATTATTGTTTTAATATAATCTATATAATATAATAAGTATTATTTGGAAGAAGTACCATAGAAAATGGGTGTTTTGATATTTTAAGTGTAGCTTACTAAATACATATAATTTTGAATGTTCTATAACATGTTCCAAATAAAACCAATAAATTGACTAGTCAAAAATCATACATGATTTAGATTTATTAGGTATTCACGATATTTGGGATATTTTTTCTATGTGTGCTATTTGCTCCTGTTGGAGATGTTGCTGTTGCTCCCGTTGCTGATGTTGCTGGCGGTGCAGTTGCCGTTGATGTTGCTGTTGCTGTTGCCGCTGTCCTCGAGTTCGTCCTCAATCACGCCATCGCCATGCACATGAACTACATTCTGTCCGTCTTTGTCTTGGATCCGCTTAACCCGCACCTGCCCCCGGAATCCATCGAATCCAGCGATGGATGTTTCTGTTTTTGCAAAATCAATGTTGACGCAAATACGTGTATGTAGAATCATTTTGCCGACAGTTCAGACTTATTTCTTTCGCTACCGAATTTAATTGGATTTTCTCCCTGACTTAAGGGCTTTAACTGCTGTGGTATGTGGAAATCATTTCTGGCCCCAGTCGCAGACACGCAATGCGATGCCGATGCCCCTTTTCCCCAATGCCCGCTCCTTTTCATCTGGCCCACTGCAAATTTACTCTTGTCGATGATGCAGCAGGAGCCGCCACTGCGACACTCCCCACTTCTTGCAGTCCCCTCATCCCGGGCGCAGTAAAAACTCACTTAATTTAGCAACTGCGAAAAGTTAATCATTACATTCCGCCGGCCGAGTGGTGCGTGCTCGGTGTGATATTGATGATGCACATGACTCAGCCGCCCGCCAGTTTAGGTATCTAAATTTGGGTGACGGACCCAAGAAATGAATTAAGGCTTATGGATTAGCCACCATTTGCAAATCAAAAATGTATATAAATATAACGATATACAAATTTGTTAGTTAGTTTAGGTATCTAAATTTGGGTGACGGACCCAAGAAATGAATTAAGGCTTATGGATTAGCCACCATTTGCAAATCAAAAATGTATATAAATATAACGATATACAAATTTGTTAGTTACTTAATCGAGAAAAACTTCTTAAACCGTAGAAAAAATTAAGAAATATATTTTAAGGGTTGCAAAAGTGAACATTAAAGTTTCTTCAACTTTATATTGCCTAGAAAGTTTATTAGAGACCTTCATTGTATTATAATTCCATTAACTCAGCTTACTATTTTGAGTACATCCTAAATCACATTTATAAAGGCTATTCAAATAAATATGTAAAACGTAAACGACTCTAAAAAACTGCTGTAAACCGCTGTAAACAGCCGTAAAATGTCAGAGTTAATGGCATTCCAAATCAATTTCGCGGTTACATTAACTTTTGAGAAGAATCAGGAAGTCTTTGCAATTTAACCTACAATGCAGTACGTAGATTTGTTTGCTTTCGCATTAGTCAGCAAAATTTGAGGAACATTTGTATGCAAATGGGAAAAAGCAACTGGAGCCAGACAAAAAGCGACACTTTAATCATTCTGAGCAAGCGCTAAACATTTCCGACCAACAAAAACAGAAACTTGAGCATATTTCCGCTGGTTTTGGTCCCCAGAAAGAAGGTCTTGCGCTGAGAAAAATATATGGGAATATAACATTTTAATAGGAAATGAAATATGCGATATACTATTTTGAGAAATAAACATTTGTTTTAGTTGGGGACAAGATACTACAAATTTAATTTTTAAAAATTATTAATGAGAACTCCAGACATAAACAAACTCTGCACTTTTTTTTGTTTTTGTTGAAGTTCATTTCTTAGTGAAGGTTTTCCCTTTGTGTAAAGTGGAAAGGAGTCCACTGATATTTCTGTAGAAGGGAAGCTCGAGTTCTTTACCTAAAAGTTATTTTCTATTTGTTTGTTAACATTACGAAATTCCGACTCTCTGTTGGGCCGGAGGAGAGTTCTAACCCGTCGTTTTTTCACGGTTCACCAAGTCGGCGGCCCACACCCATTCCCCCTTGAACCTCTGCGCCCCAAAATGTATAACCCCCGGCTCGGTGGAAATCAGCATATGCATATGCCTACATGTGGGTAAACACCACCGCGTCGCTAACCACGGGCACAAAAACTCCGCCCGGCCTGAGCACTTCTTGTCTACATTGTTTGGAATATTTTCAGCCGGACAGCGGACAATCGGACATACGGACAAACGGACATACGGACAGCGGACAGGCGAGCAAACAAAAACAGGAAGCGTGGCTACCACAAATATGCACGGCACACAGGGCTTGGCTGTAAGTTCGGGCTGGGATGTAGATACTAGATCGCTATCTGGCTGGAACTTGGCCACTTTGCTACCGAAATAATGGCGGCCGGCAGGCGTTAGCCAAGGCGGCCATAATTAATGCGCCCATCCCCGAAAAACCGAAAAAGTTGCACGAAACGCAATTAGAAGCAGGCACACAGTTGAACATCCCCAAATAGAATTATCATCTGTTTTAAAAAGGTTCAAGATATACGAATATCAATATTACCTTGAAAATAAACGTAAAGTCTATGGCATTATAACTGGACATGTAAATTTCCCTTAAAGTGTCTATCAAGATATTAATTTTAATGAAGCTAAAATACATTTTTCAATTTTTATTTATTTAGTTTATTTACTATGAAATGTTTCCAAATCCTTTATTTTTTATTAGCTGCTTAAAACTAAGCAGGGATGCAGTCATATTTTAAGTGCAGTTTCAAAGCCAAAAATTTAGGCAGAGGATAGTTTAACCTTTGGGTAATTGTATTTAGATACTGAAGGGCCAAAACAATTTTGGATGGTAATGGCATTCGAAATTATCAAATTGGTTGTTTTAGGGTGGATGTTTTTAACTATATTTCAGTTAAATCCGAAAACAACATTAAAAATATAGATTATCATAAATGAAATTTTCTATTTCAACACAAATTTTATGTCTCTTAGTCCATTCTTAAGAAACAAAGGTTCTAGCTATGGAAGTTGGCCTGTAGCAGCAAACATAATTTGTTTTACTTTTGGAGGGTTAATTTGCGCCGCTTTGGGCGGTTCGTTAGATACAGTGATAAATGTTTAATTAGCCGCGTTATTAATCTAATCAATCATGCAGGCCGAAATCAATCAGAAGGGGTAGCAGGGGTTAACATCCGAGTGAGGCCCCCAGTAAACCCCCCACTCCACCTTAGTAAACTTGGCTTTCTTTGAGTTTTCTTAGCCTTCCCTTATTGGTTGCCTTATTTGCTTGAAATTTAACCAAGAGAAAGTGGGACAACTATAGAAGCCAGTGCGCAAATGCGAGCCTGCTCTCAGACACGCCTCTCTCACTCGCTCTGACTCAAAAAGTGAGCTAGTTTGAGTTTGGCTCAAATTATGTAAGGTGAGCCGAACTCAATGCGGTTGTATATACCCTCTCGCTCTCGAACTCTCTCCCCCCCTTTCTCATGCTTTTGTGACACATAAATATTTTTTAGTGGGAGCAACTTTAGCTTAGTCTTTTATCAACATAAATAATTTACATGTGCTTGTTTTGAAAAGTTCTGAGTGCGTGTGTGCTGGCATTTTGAATGGCAAAAGTTGTGCCTTTCAATCTGGGCAAAATCATTGTTATTTTGCGCTAGCAAATTATAGGCCATTAAAATTGATTATTTTGCATTATCTGTGAGGGAGGTTGGCCATTTGCCGCCTCTTTGCCACACCCCTTTGGAAAGAGGAGAGGCAGCGATAAGGGGAGTTGCACTAACAACACCTGCAAAATAATTTAAGCTTAGGGCTCAGATACACAGAAACACACACACACTTACAAAAGTACAATTGGCGGCCATTATTACATGGCTCCTGATTTCTGTAATTCAGCCAACCAGCGTGGAAGTGGGAGTGAGAGGGGAACAGTGGGCGAAATAAATCAATTAGCCGACCCATCTGCAACTCATGCCGCTCCTGTCACTCCACTGCAACTGCATTGCATCGCTCTCGTTCGCACTCCTGCTCCTTTGCTGCGCAGGCTCTTCTCTCTCTCTTTTTCTCTTGAGTGACTGGCGTTAATCGGTTACGCTGCTGCTTACCACCCTCTTACCACCCAGCCTACCCCCACCCACTTTCACAAGGTAACCACTGCGGTGGTTGGCCAAAACGAGTGGAGTCGCGTCCAACGCGGATTCATTGGTTTCTCGTCCGGCCGAGTCACTAATGTCCGCCGATGTCCCGTGTAATGCGTTTTTTGCACGTCCCCCGTTTTGTGGCAAGAAATGGGGGTATGAGAATTACGGAGGAAAAACTGGATCACGCAGAAAAATTACGTATACGTAGATATATTATTAAGATGATTTTTTGAAATTTAAAAAGACTAATGTTTATAAAATGGGTAGAATAAGAATCATTCTTAAGAAAGTTATACTTTAATTAAAGAACAAGAAACCTAAAACCTGCTTTTTTACTCTCTGAACATTAAATTTGTATTAAACCAAAAATTTAGTTTTTAAAATCTAAATCAAAACTCAAAAGCATCTGACCAGTTTCTTTCCAGTGTTGCTTTTTGTGATCGATGATTGACAGCCATTTCTTGGTGTCGGCATTTCAATAAAAAAAACTTTTCCAACTCACAAACACCACGTATTACCAAACAAAATCGGTCGTCAATTAAAAGCAACTCGAAAGCAACTGGTAGCGCAGGTCTAGCCTGAAAGTTTGATAAACAATGCACTGAAATCGAATGCCCGAGTAATTAATTATTGAACTTTTACAACTGTTTCGGTTTGGGTTTCGTTTTTTTTCCGTTTTACCTCTCATTTCCACAGCGAAGCGCTCAATGGGGCGACGCTCAAACGTACGTACGTACACACTCACAGGGGAAAAAAACCCCTGAATGCTCAGTGGCAAACCGACCACAACCACAGGCAAACCAGAATGCAGCAACCCGATCCAAGTTTTAGCCAAGTAAGATATTGCGCTGCCGGTGGCTCTGAGCTCAGTCTCATTCAGCGAGTCGGCGGGCGTTGAGTTTGAGTGCGAAGTGCGGTGCGCGTCGAGTCAGCGAGCGTTGAGCAGCAGCAACAACACGACGGCAACAGCAACACTAGCAGCAGCAGCAACAGCAACAGCAGCAACACCAACGGCAGCAACACAAGCGAGCGGTTCCGGTTCGCGTTTTCGAGTGGCGGCTTACTAAAAAAAAAAACCTCCAAAAAACCGTCGGAAAAACAAGGCCCCTAAAATGCCTTTAATTTAATCCCTTCTGTCTGCTGATCCTAAATTTTGGAAGCGTGGCATGGCAACCACCACATCCCCCGGCCCCACAAGGACTACCAATAAAGTTTCTACACCAAGAGCAACATCTGGAATTCCTGGGAGCGCTGAATCCCCCGGCGCAATCATGCCCATGGCCGCCGTGCCATTGCCGTCGCATCTGCAACTTTTGGGCAGTTCCGCCGGAGGCGTCGGTCAGCCGTCGGCAATCACGCCCGTTTCGCCCACGGCAGCACCCACAGGTTAGTGGTAATATAATCCCATTTTGGGTGATAGGCAAAAAATTTTAATTTGAATAACACCTTGTTTTATACAACATTTTAATATTTCTTTTATTTAATAAACATAAATAATTTGGAAAAAGATAATCCATAGTCATTAGCATTTTAAAACACATTTTCATTTGTTTAAGTTAAGAATATAGACCAACATTTTTTTCATATTTAACATTTATATTATTGACTGCTCTGTTGATATACAAGTAATGGCACAGGTGATTTCTTGCTTAATTATTCAAGCAATGGAACATATACAAATTCATAATTGTTCTTATTCTTATGGATTTAGCCGTAGGTATTTGTTTTTATTTATATTAACTCAACAAAATTGTGAGTCTTAGTGAACATGTTTTTTTAATTTGTTTTAATATGTTACTAATTGTAGATGAACCCAGTTTTTGAAGCATTTATTAGAGAAGGTGTTATATTTTCTCTGGCTCTCCGTCATTTAAATATTAAAAATAAATATTTTTTTAAATTTACTATATTATTCTCCTTTTTAAATTGTACTTATGTTGCTCTTGTACCTACTAACATTGCAACTATTTTTGCTACTAATGTTGCTGGTATCGCCCCGACTGTTGCTGTTGCCGTGGATTTTGCTGCATGCTCCATGTGAGCCGCAAGATTCGGGCAAATTCCGTGAACTGACAGGGATATCGGAATCGGGGGCCCGAAACTGTTTAAAACAAAAGCCAGCCACAAGAAACTGGTGGCACTAGTCAAATGCCTGCTAAAGAAGTGCAATGATTTGGAAATTTCACAACAGCAACAGCAACGCAGCAACAGCAGCAGCAGCAGCAGCAACACCGCTGCTGCAGCAACAGCAATAGCAACAACACACAACAACTGTGGCAACTGTTTTGGTCTTTCGCACATCAGTGGCAATTTGTTTTGCACAAGTATGGGTTGTCAAATAAAATTAGTTCACGTCGGCGGCCATCGAATGTATCTGCAAGATACACACAGTGTCCCGGATGGAAAAAAGGGGACTTTGTGGCTAACGGGAGGGGGCGAGCAAAGCTTTGACTTGTCTCTAGAAGGTGTTGGAAGTTGCACAATAAATAAATAATTATAAAAAGAGTCCCAGTCGAGGAAAAGAGACATGCTGAAAAAGAGACACGGAGACCCCAAACCGTAGAGCAAAGGGGGTTCAGTGGGGAAGCAGGAGGTACATGGCATACATTGAAGTTTAAGCATAGGGCAGAAACCATACTTAGGGGTCTCAGGTTACGTGGTGCGTGTATTCGCATTATTCTTAGAAAGCCAAGCGTATAAAAGGTGTGCACAATGATTTTGAAGAGTGCCTCGGCTCGGTTTGGTTTGGTTTGCTTCGAAAATGCACATGGTCCGAACTCCTTACGTTACTTTGCCTTGCGTTACGTATATGAATATATGTGTCACCCCAGTTGGTGGTTCTACCGCCTAAGGAACTGGGGTGATCATTTCACGACTCTTTGCGTCTTTTCAAGTCGTCTGCAAAAGGAAACAGTAATATTACTACCTCCTAAAGTGTGTCACCCTCTGCAAATGATAACTTACAGTGTGTGTTAAATTTGTATAATGGCATAAATTATTTATGATTAAATATATTTTATTTTGCAAAGCTACAGGATATTGAAATGTTTAGTAAAAATAAAATAAGTTAATAATAAAGAATGGCATTATTTAGGAACTCAATACAATTTTTCTCGCTTTGAAAATTAATACTTTCGATATAAAATGATTTAAGGGCAGTAAAAAGAACTCAATAGAAAATTATTTCAAAATTTGTGATCATAAAAAAAAGGTTTTTACAAAAACGCATTTAGTTGTACTCTTCTTGCTATTACCATTACTTTCCTATCTAGTTGTTTCCTTTAATAGTTTGTTGCAAGTTAAATTGAAGAATCAACATAGTCATCAAATTAATTATATCCCCCATCTCATAAACGTTAAAGGACCATTAAAGGTAGAAAAACAGGTAAATAATTTAAACAAAATTAAGTTTTCTTTTAATTTCGAAGTGTTTTATTTCAATTTACATATTTTTATGCCTAAGGCTAACCACAATTTAATAGCAAACTATAAGCCACAACCATACAATAAAATCCAATAAAGGATGGCATAAAATTAGAGTGACTTATGTAAGAGTACATCTCCCCTCAGCGGAATTCTAGCAGCTTAGGAAAATGTGCGAAGAGCGCAGTAATGCGCACTGGCAGTAAAAACCAGAAGCTTTAGAGGACGAGTAATGCGCTGCGCGCGACAAACAAGATCAGCGAGCACTAACTGAAGGGGCTGGGATGAGGATGAGGATGAGGATGTGGTTGAGGTTGAGGACGAGGATGAGGATGCGTTGAGGAGCCACATAAAAAGCGAGCAACTTTAATTTATATGCAGTGCCTGGAAAAGGGGCAAAAGGGGGCGACCGGGAAGAGCAGCGGCAAAAAGTTACCGGTAGCAATAAATCAAACTATCAATTGAATTCCGAGGCGATCATCACTTGTGGCGAGCTGCGATCCCGAGTTCGAGCTTCAGTCCGAGTCCGATCGGCATCGCCTCTTGTTATAAGTCTCACGGTGACGTGCGAGTGGCTACAGAGAGAAAAATAACTTAGCTATATCACAAGGGCATAAAGAGTGCCATATTTACATATTGTATTCTTTGTGCTAGAATTGTTTATGCAAAAAAGACTTTTAGACTTACATGCTGTTAGGGCCACTGGCCTCAAATCAATTTTTATTAGTTTATTCAATCTTGTGCCATTTTATTTATATATTTTTAAAGTTTTTAAGTATTTACCTTAATAGGAATCTTTTCAAAAATAATTAAATATGATTCAATTATATAAGAACTGATATTGGTTACAATATTAATATTTGGAATTTCTTCTAAATAAAATTCAATGGTATATCCTCGTTACTCATATTCATAAAACAAATATAACATAAATATATTTAAAAGTTAGTATTCTGATTGATAGAACTATTCATTTAATTTTTTTTGCATAACTTTTTTTATTGCTCATGAAAGTTTTAACATAATTGTTCTATTTGTTAGATATTGGTTATACTTCAATTGGAATCTTATGTCAAATAATCATAATCCAGATCTAAGTCGTTTAGGCTTAGGATATTTCTTATGTTTTTTTTTCTGTGCAGAGGATCGGGGGGCAGGATGAAGGGTTCGGGTTTTGGGCCGTGGTTCCAGCGATTTTAAGCCGCTTTTGCAATTGACTGAGGCGCATCGCGGGGCAGTCGGAGCTGTCGCATTGCGTAGTAAATCATCGGTCGATCCCGCTCCGACTTTGCCATAGAATCTGGACCGGGAATGGCACTGTGACTGAGACTGGGGCAATCCGGAGGCACTGAGCGCTGTTGACATCCAAGTTGGCCTGCTGTTGCGGCGGCATAAATCAAGCATGGCCATAACCGCGGCCACAACAATTGGCGCAACATGCGAGTGCAGCAAATTGCCGCGGCCACTTTTAAATGGAGTGAGCCCGGCTGGTCCCATCTGCATGGGGTTTAATTAGCCAAGGAGCTGGAGAAGATCCCTATTCCCGATCACCGATCCCGATCCCCAATCCCCGATCCCCGATCGAAGTGCATACTGGAAACCCGACTGGCATGCCGTCGCCACACACGGAGCTCGATCGCACCAAAAAAGAGGTGTTAAAATGTGTGCAGTTCTCGCGATCAGATAAAATGTCAAAATGAACATAAAAGCTTCTACATCCGAGGAATGGCCAATTGCTGCCACGACTCTGACAAGCGATCTCCCGTCCGATTTGCCATTCCCATTCCCATTCCGATTCCGATTCTGATTCCAATCCAGAGTCCAGCGTCCAGTGTCCAGGTCCAACAAATTGCCAGCGAGAATTTCATAAATTCCGAGTGGAATCAGCAGTCGGTGTCAGCGGTAATGGACCACACCGCGTCCATTATGCCCATAAACGTTGACACTTCCGCCACTGGACGGAGGAGCCCAGCCGGCTATCGGATCGACTTTGACTCTGACTTTGACGTCGTCGATCAAAAACACACCGAAATTTGTCCAGCCATCGCGTTGTCCCAGTTACCACCCTTCTCCCCCCCAAAATCCTCGGGGCCCCTACTCAATGATCGGGCTACAAATTTCTTGGTGTTTCTGTGTCACGCGCGGAATGCCGGCAACAGCTTCGTTTAAATTCCAATTGACGTTTAATGATTTTGCGCCCCTGCACTCAGAGAATAATGTGTTATAGAAGGCAATTATACATTTTTATTTACAAAAAGTATTTAATCCAATACTATTTCAATGAACAAGCTTAGAAATAGAAATCAGAAATTAAATTTCTTAGTCTTAATTCGTTAAATTTAAGTTTCAATTAAATCTTCAACCATTGGACATCTATAAGATCATTCAAATTAAATATGAGACCCAAAATAATTTTAGAACAATTAATCTGTTATTAAATTTAGAAGATTTATTTGTTTGTTACCAAAGATCATAGTTATTCCTCATATTAAGTTGAGATGATAACTAAAGCTAAAAATCGGCTTGGAGGTTAATACCTTTAATGTTGTTATTAAAAAAAAAAACAAAAATATATTAATTTTACATTTTTGGCTTACAAATGGGTTATCGGGAATTATTCATATCAATCCTTACCTGATTTTTATTTGAAGATGGAATCCTATACTACCCTGAATATAAGGGATCCATATTAGGTTAAAATTGATATGAATAATTCTCAATAACCCATTTGTAAGCCAACTTTTCCAGCAAGTCCCCAAATTATAAGCTTTAGATTGATTCCTTTATAAAAAGTTGTACGTGGCTAAAAAAGTGAAAGAAAAGAAATGTTCTAACTTGTGAGGACAGTATATATATTTATTTTTTTTCGCTGTGGACGTACTTTTTTTGCCCAGTGTACTAATGATTTGGTACCCTTGCATTTCAGTTCTCGCCCAGCCGCACAGCTTGAGCCCCTCCACGCCCATCCTGACCCAGGGAACGCCCCCTGCCCCTTCGTTGGGTGGCATCTTCTGCGGAGGCAGTGCAGCGGCGGGACCGGGGGCTGCGGGGGCGGCAGCAGCGGCGGCGGCCACAAACCTCAACGCCTTGGCCTCCCAACATCGACTGCTGGAGCTATCCCGCTTTGGACTTAGAGGATATGATCTGGCCCAGCACATGCTCTCCCAGCAAGGAGCTGTATCCAAGCTGTTGGGTAAGTTATTGTTGTAAGTGAGGGGGTGGTGATAAGGGGGGGAGAAGGGGGAGAGGAGGCTAGGCAGACGTGGTCCAGACCACCCTGACCAATGCAATCAGCGGCAGAACGCGGAACCACGAAACACGCGCCCCAAATGCAATCGCCATGTGTCCCCAAGCGTCCCAATCGATTTGCACGGCTCCGTTGTGGGGTCACGTAAACACGACAAATCGATTGGCAATCGCCATCACCATCCCCCCACCTGCACCTGGACACCCCGATTCGTCCTCTCTGCCCCCTTTTCCCCTCGTGAAGTCTGCAGCAGCCGCACACCTGTTGCCACCTGTGGGTACTACTCCCAGCCATGTCATTCTCAATTTGCCACCTTCTCCACGCGAACTGGCTAATTTGAATTGCAAGCTTAAATCTTGAGCAGGAAATACAGAACTTTTAGCATTTATAAGTTACTAAAACTAGAAAACAATTGGATTTTATTTGAAACTTAATAAAATCTTAAAATGCGAATCGATTTGTCAATTAATCCCCTTAATTGCATATATTCTAGAAGAAGAAAGGCATTCTACCAAACTTTTAATTATTTTTGAATTGGGTTAATGCAAAATAATAAGCTATCTTCCTCTGAATAGAATATTTTAAGAAAAAAATTTATTTTGGGTGCAAGAATCTGAATATATTACATTTGAAAAACTGTGATGGAAAAGTAATTCATGTATCTTTTAGGTGCAATTATTGAGATGTAACAAATGAATCACTTCAGGAAAATATAAAAGCACCTAAACTTCTAAACATAGAAATACAGAATTAATTCTAACACTACTTCCTGTTTAAAAAATTTGGCTTGAGGGCATTTTAGGCATTTTATCAGTTACAAAGTGCACAAAAAGCATCCAAGTGCATTTCTATCACAAGCTAGTTTAGTGTGTCAGAAAAAGTTACGCTAAATAAATCTGCCCATTCACAAATATTCATTAGCGTAACTTCAAATCGCATTATCCGATCTGTGTGGATGCCATTCATTTCCATTCAAGTCAATTTAAATTGTGTAAATAATTTCCGTTTTGCACAAAAAGCTGGAAAATAAATGTACAAGTACATTTGTGTCCATTCATTAATTTAAGGCAACCGACTGCACCGAAAATAAAATCCAACTGGAAGTGTAATAAATTACCCTATAAATTTCTATGCCAATTAAATAAAAGCTAAAGATAGTAGTATAAGTTTTTTGCCATTTAAAATCAAATAAATGGCATATCCAAATGAGCCAGCTAATCCGGTGATTAAAAGATATATCTATCGAATTTTCTCTGGGTGTAATTCAGCGACAGAGCTCAATTTACAAGATAAACGCGCGCGCCTGTCAACTGCTTCCGACGAATTATCATTTGAGCCGACTTTTGTGACTCTGTGACTCTGCGACTACTGCGACTTGGAGTCTCAGGCCGCTGATGTTGTCAAATATTCAAATTAGCGCTCCGCTGAATGGACGCCGGCTGCTGGCTTAATTGTCTAGTTAGTTAGTGGCTCGGAGCAGGCAGTCAACAGGTAGCAGGTATCTGGTATTTGGTATCTGGTATCTGGTGACTGGAGGCCCGTAGTGCCACACAATGCACTGCGACCGCAGGGCTTTTGACCTGGTCGAAACGCCCACACGAGCAACCCGGCAGCCAAAGGCAGTTGCTTTGAACAATGTGAAAATTATGCGAGTCGCACAATGCCCAAGCCCAAGGCGCTGGCAATAGGAGAAAAGCCAAATTGATTGCACAACTGGGATGGGGCATACCTACAAAAACATAGACAGCCGGGCACGCCCTCAGCCGCACAGATTTTAGGGTCTCAAAAACAAATTTATTTAATTAAGTAGATTTTTCAAAAACAATTAAGGCTTTTTAAAATATTTAAAATGTTTAATTTTGAGTGACCGATGAAGTTTTACGAAGGTGCGGTTAATGCTAATGAAATAGTTTTCAATTTCAAAAATATTTTTGATTTAAAATCAACAAATATTCTATATTTCTATGCTTAAAAACAATGAAGCTAGATTGATTTTCCTATACATTTTTTGAACGTTCCTATGGCAGCTATATGGTACAGTCTTTAAAATAAAACCGTAAATTTCGCTTAGTGCTTAAAACTATATCTCGTAGTATTAGGACAATGATGTTATAATTCTATTCTTCTTCTATTTCCCTTATTACCCTGTTTCTATGAAAGCTAAATTATATGAGACGGATCCGGCCCGCTGCGGTTACATAAAACATAAGGTTTAGTTTGCATAGAAATGGAGGGTTGTCCTGCCTTGCGAACTTTTTGACCCTTTTAAAGGGTATAATAACTAACATGAAAATGGGACAACAATTGCAAATTGCAAGTACAAATTTTTAGACAATCAAACCACAAGTCTTAAGAGGTTTGAAATCACCAACAATTCGTTAAAGATTTTCTTGGATTAGATAAATAAGTCAATTGTGTTGATAAGGAAGTGTCTAAAAAAATATATACATCCTAGTTTGGGGATGTTTTCATCGGATAGAGTAAGCTTATAATTTTAATCGACAATTTCTGTATGTTTGCAGGTACCCTACGACCACCGGGTCTAATTGGCGGCTCCAAGCCCAAGGTGGCGACCCCGACCGTGGTCTCCAAGATCGAGCAGTACAAGCGCGAGAATCCGACGATCTTCGCGTGGGAAATCCGCGAGCGACTGATCACCGAAGGTAGGCGAACAATGAGTCCAGGGGCAGATGCCGATCAATGGGGCAGGACTTCGATTGCGGAGCTTGGGGCAGGGCAGTTTGGAATAGGAAGGGACGGGACACAATGCGAGTAGCTGGGCTAATTAACTGACAGGGAACCCCCGAAAGCGAAATTGCCCAACAAATGACAACGGTCGCGACAAGCGTCTGGTCTTCGTTTCAAGATGCTTACGCGCTTCTTTTTCAGCTCTTGAGTTCCTCCAGTTCCACCAGTTCCTTCAGCTCCTCTTGAGCTCCTCCAGTTCCCCCATCTCCGCCAGCTTTTCTTCAGCTTCCTCCAACTTGTTCAGATGGGGGATTGACAGGAGGAACTCGAAAGAGCAGCCATCAGCATCGGGCATCGGTACCGGGATTGATGTGTTTATGGTGCTCGTAATGCGAATGCCCGCCGAGGGCTCATTTAATGTTGTAAGAATCGGGAGGATATATTGTTCCACCAGCGGCAGATTTAGATTTATCGATTGGCTAATTTATGAACATCCGCTGCGAGTCCGATTGATATGTAAATGTGCTCACATTTGTGTCACTCATTTTGGGTTCCCTCCATTGGAGTTTGCGAGATAATCGCGGACGGAATAGGAGGCAGTAAGTAGTCCAGTCGGCAGCAACCAGTTGACGGTTTCTGCCTGCCGCTTGACAGTTGCTCGTGGGCAGTGGACAGTGGTCAGTGGAAATGGAAGTGGATGTGGATGGTGGACAGTGGACAGTCGAAACTGGACACTGGACGGAGGACAGTGGTCAGTTCGCATCGCTCGGTGCAATGAATCGTTCCGATAGCCATCTCTCGCATGAGACGCACGAACACACACACGGCGCGATCCCAATCGGTCCTCTCATTACAGTCAATCTCCAGCTCATTTCGGGGTCACCAAGAGGTCATGATGGGCTGCATCCGGTGCACGAACAATGAATAAAAACATATCCAAATCAGGGCCCTACTTTTTTTTATAATTTTGTCTTTATCAATTAAAATAAACTCTTTTGATCAGTTTGATCCCATATACTATTTGATTTACAAAATTAATTTAAATATTTCAAATTTGATTGTCTGGCTTAAGATATTAACAAAACATTTTATTAAAATTAAATTATAAAAACTTAGTTTTTATGTAAATGTTTTACCCATTTAATATATTTTTCATATTAATCAGGGGTAACCTATTTTGCATTCCACAGAAGCCTTTTAAACCTATTACAAATGCCATCTTTGCTGACACATTACTAGATATTTATATAAAATAATATTTTCAATATTATTTGTATATATTTTTTTAAATCATCAATATCTTTGGGACTTTAAAAGTTGTTCAATGTGCAAAATACCGATAATTAACTGCATTGTTTTCCCCTTTTGTCCAGGTGTTTGCACCAATGCCACCGCTCCCTCGGTGAGCAGCATCAATCGAATATTGCGTAATCGGGCTGCGGAAAGGGCAGCGGCGGAATTTGCCCGGGCGGCGAGTTACGGCTATGCCATCCACCCCACGCACCCGCATCCGTACACCAGTTTTCCCACTTGGCCGGCGCATCATCCTCTGTGGGGCGCCGTGCCCCTGCCCTCCGGTGGAGCTGGTGGGGCACTGCAGCCCGGCGGAAGTGGCAGCAGCTACGGCAGCGATGGCAACATGAGCTCAAATCCCAACAGCAGCAACGGCAACACCACCCAAAGCAACAGCAACAACAACAACAGCGGCAGCGCCTGTGGAGACAGCAGTGCGGGAAGTGGCCGCCTTTCCCTGCCGGCCCTTTCACCGGACTCCGGGAGTCGGGACAGCCGCTCCCCGGACGCGGATGCCAACCGGATGATAGGTGAGTCCACAAACTTTAATTTTCGATTAAGCTTAATTTTTAATAAAGCTACACTTTGAGCCTTTTAAGATTGGTCTAATAGTGTAAATCGATAGATACCAAATACTCTTTCAATGTTTCTTCCCTGTCAGTTTAGAGTCTCTGCATGTATTAATCAGACAATAAAAAAATGAACATTAGTAGCGATGTTATACCTTATTTACTTGTTTCATAAATCAATCCAAGTTTTCTGACATTTTTTAAGTGTTGTTACGGGATTTCACTGAAATGCTTTACACCGTAGTTTGTAAACTGAAAATAAAATGTTGGTTCTAAACCAACACAAAATATTCCGTAGCACCGATATGTATTTCAAACGATCTCTACAGATTTATTAATCTTAAACAGGAAATTTATTTTGGTTCATTCAATTAAAAGTGCCATTGGCGAATTTATAATTATTTTTATGCCAAAATGGACATTAAGAAAAAAAGACATTATCTTTCATAGTATGCGGTAAATGTTTGTTCATGTTCTTAAACGTTAAACAAATTTGTAAAAAATGTGAATTTTATTTTGTGCTGAAATATACAAGTAAATAATTTCAATTTGTAATTATTTTCTCAGACATCGAGGGCGAGGACAGTGAGTCGCAGGACAGCGACCAGCCGAAGTTCCGGCGCAACCGCACCACCTTCAGTCCGGAGCAACTGGACGAGCTGGAGAAGGAGTTCGACAAGTCGCACTATCCGTGTGTGAACACCCGCGAAAAACTGGCTAGCCGAACGGCCTTGAGCGAAGCCAGGGTGCAGGTGAGTCGATATCAATACCAGCTCCTACATATAAATGTTTGGTATCAACCAATCTCCCAAATCGAACACATTCCCACAATCACAACCTACTAACCACACATTCGGAGCTAGCCACTCCGGAGATCCCAGAACACCACGATCCCAGTCTCTTTTTTTATCGACTAACAAATTGTCTCTTCACCGATTGATCAACCAGGTTTGGTTTTCCAACAGACGAGCGAAATGGCGACGCCACCAGCGGGTCAACTTGCTCAAGCAGCGCGACTCGCCCTCGACGTCGAGCTCACCCACGCCGGTGGTTGCAGCTCCAGAATCTGGCCAGCCGAAGCAGCCATATCCCTACAGCCACAGCAGCAGCAACATCAGTCACAGCAGCAACACCTGCAACACCAGCAACATCTGCAACACCAGCAACATCAGCAACATAGGCAACACCTGCAACACCAGCAACATCAGCAACACCAGCAACACCACCTGCAACAGCAGCAGAATGAGCGACAACCACGTGGAAGAGCCACCAGTGGTGGAGGCACCTGCCTCACCCACAGCATCAGCTCCATTATCAATGGGCGGTGAGCACAGTGCCTTCCGAGCCCTCCCCATGACCTTGCCCCCAGCTTCGGCGGCGGCCTTTGCCCTCAGTTTCGCCCGCCAGTACATAGCCAAATATATGGGCACGCCTATCAATCTGGGCCACCATCTGGATGCTAGTGCTGATCGGGATCAGCAGGAACAGCAATCGTCGTCGACGGAGGAAGAGGAGGAGGTAATTAATGTGGAACACGACGTCGAGTGACCATTTTCCTATCGCTTTAAATCGAGAATTTAGTGCAATTTTTACTACTTAATTTATTCAGTTTGTACATCTAACCGCGTGCTGAGTACAAATAAAATCGAAACGATGACATGCGTGCGATAAGTTCTCACGAGTTTCGTATAATTGGTTTGGGAATTCAGAAGATGACACCCTTTGACATCCCAAGGGGGGAGGGGGAAGCGGGTGGAGGTGCCTGGCTCAAAAAAGACTTTTCGAAAATAACTCAAGTGGACAAATCTGACAATTTTGTGGCTACCAAAAGCAAAGTGAAAAGCAGACACACAGAGGCAGTGGCACAGGCTCCAACTCAGAGAACTCGAACTCAAGTACCTGGCAAGATGGGTTTGGGTTATGGACATCGAGGGATCAGGGGCTGAGGGGATGAGGGGATCTCCGGGGATCGGGGATGAATTGCTGGAGCCGGGTGATTAATGTGGCTTTAATTACATGCGCTGCCGAGTCGTCGCCGTCCTCGTTTTTGTCGTCAATGTGTATGCTCGGATGGATCACTATAATTATATAGATGGCCGAATTAAATTTTAATTTAACGCCTGTCAAATCAGAAAACCACTGCCATAATCGTTCGCTCAAGAGATCCCGATCCCCGATCCAATCCACGGGGGCAGCCCCCGAAACAGTTATTCATTTCATCGCTGATCGCTGAACGGTGATCGGTGATCGCTGATCGGTGAGAATCAATCGAACTGTGCGCCGAACGCTATTTTACCATCTATCCATTATTGATTGTTTGGGATTGTAATGAGCCACCGAAGGCGTCAACTCCAGCGTCGATCGGTGATGAAAGAAAGACGCCTGCCAAGAGAATGCGAAACAATTAAAGCCCCGAACCTCCGTACATTTCCAATTTGGGGGGTACCTGCGGCTTTCAATGAGTCGTCAAAACGGATTGCGCCACAAGAAAGGGATGCACCGGAAAAAATTCAATTCAAAATCAATTTGACATGTGCTGGTTACAATGGTGGGTATGCTTTGGGGCAAAGATTTATCTTGTCATCAAGGCGCCATTAAATTGAAATACAAAACAGGAATTCAATGTTCAAAGATGAATGGTAAATTTAAGTTTTCAGATGTTTTGTTATTTTTTTAAATCTATTTAAGGGCATACGTTTGAAAAGGAAATATATAAATTATTAAATAAAATTTGAGGTAAGCTAGTAGCTTAGTAGAAAAATTTAATTAATAAAAAAATATATATAATAAAATTGATAAAATATTAAGGAAATAAAGTAAGTTAAATTTTTGGGTACATCAAAAATAAATATTTAGATCATACATTATATAAATTCAAAGTGAAATTGGACAATATGCATATGATGGATATGGAATTAAGAAGTTAAAAAATCCCTTTAACAGGGAATACAAAGTTTATCTGAGCCTACAATTGGTTTTACCATTGTGGTATTCTTGTATTGTATCCACTTTTATCTCTGTGAATCTTAAAGCAGTAGTAGCTGTTAGAAATTGTTTTTCCCCTTAGATTGCCTTTTTGTGGTAAATGTGGCGCTTTGGGGTCATGTGCCGCTCCAGCTTTCGATGGGAGAGTTATCAGTATCTCTGAATGGAGTTGGAAGTGGAACTCCAACCGAAACTGGGCTGCATATCATCCGAGTGTCCCGACTGCATCCTTGCCGCGATTCCAGCCGTTGTCCGTTGCCTGTACCTGTTAATTGCCAAAGGCGTTAGTATTAAGTGGTTTTCGTGCTTATTATAAATATCTCTTAATTTTCGCCATCCCCACGTTGTGCTGGTGTGAGTGGCAAAATCTTGAAATGGCAATCACCGACTCGCAATTCCCAACTCCCGACCAAAGGCAGCCAAGTGGACAACGTCTGCGGACTCGTCGTCTGCTTTGTTGTCATTATGTTGTGTTATTTGGCACGATTTGTTAAGCTAAGGAGCAGGAATGGGACTGGGTTGAGGACTGGCGTTCAGGGGCGACCGAAGTAGGGATTTTTGGGGCAATTTTCATTAAAATACCATTGAATTAAAAACAAGTTATTTGGGGTGAAATTCTGGTCGGATTTACCGTATGGCTAAAACAAAAGGCCTTCAACTAAATATTAAATAAATTCAAATATTTCAGAATAGCTAAATTTATTTAATTTTGTAATAGATTAACTATGGTTATTAAAAAAAATATTTTATTCAATGTCACAAAAATTGTATATATCCAATACTTGAGACTTAGAACTTAGACTGTAAAACCTATAAAAATAAGCGATATAAAAAGTTCCAAAGCCCTAAATTTGTTTAAATTTAGAATATTTGTATACGGCATATAAAATATAGAATAAATTGAGGTTTTGGGTATATTTTTTATTGGCCCAATAACCGCAAATTCCAAAATGTATTTATTTTTATTATTTTCAGCACTATCTGTTGACATTAAAGATTTAATATAAACTATGAAGTAAACGCAATTATTAAATGTTTTGAGCTTTGAAGATTTGTTATGTGACTAAGAAGAAAATGTATAGGATGGTTATGACTTTAATGAGGGGTTTTTGAACCCCATGAAACCCTCCTGGAACGCCACTGCCCAGGGATGTCGAGTCGCAACTGAAGCTGAAGGCTGTGCGCGGTTGCATGATGCTGCCGATCGATTGGGCCCGAATCGATCAGCGGCGAGGAGCGGCTCCGGGAATGGCCAAAGCCTCGCGTCTCCGGTAGCCGATCACTGGTCCACCAGCTCCTCCGTCGCGCCACCCCACTGCTGGCTGTTGGCCCTCTTTGAGAGAGTTTCCGCTTTTGGCCATGAGATCGGGAGCCAAACTGGCGTCGCACAGCACACAGGGCCCATATAATTGTCGCATGCAAGATCGCGGCCATCGACATCGGCATTGACAACTCGGAAAGGAGCGGTGGGAAGGGGGGAAGGGGGATCCCCGACAGCAGGACATGAAAGGTAACGCATTGCTGCGACCAGGAGAATAAGTAATTCACTTAACGCTTTAATATCGCTGATAAATGCAGACCAATCTGCATTCCCCCCCTTTGTCCACATGATCCCATACATTTCCCCTTAATTGGTGCAATTTCGAACGATTTTATTTTATTTCGCCTGCGTTTCATTCCTGCTGATCGTTTTTTTCCTAAGATCTGTGGACTCTTTTGCTGCAACACTGGGAGATCACCTGTGCCTGCGCAGACTTTGTGGCTGCGGCGTGCGAACAGTCTGCTCATTTGCATAAATTCAAATTCATTTGCACGTTATTGGGAATGGGAAACCGAAACCGAATGCGAATGCGATCTGAGCATTGTTTTGCACGTGTTGACAAGTTGCAAGAGGGTTGGTAAGTCCAAAGAGGGGGGGTTTTGGCCATGGGAGGGACCGGATGCCCCGATGATAAAATGCGCATCCTCTCCAGAACCCTCGAACCCACCTTCAGTTCGGGGCCAACCGACGACGTCTATGCGAGTTTAATGCAAGCCTAAGCCTATAATTTGATCGTATCCACACAATAACTCAGAACCCTGCCCAAATCGGAGTCGGAGCCATCGACTGGCTCCACGGACCCCAGCGGAGTGCAAAATGCCCAGTGGCGCTTTTGGGGGCGTGGCCACGCCGAGCAAGAGCAGTGACAGAGCCGATAATGGATGCGCAGCAATGCCATTTCTGGCAGATCGGGGAGTACTCCGCGGCTTCTGATAAGACCACCAGCGGGTAACACTCGAAAAATTATACGAATTATACGACGGGTAATATGGAACATTTTTTCTTTTTAATTGTTCCTATTCAGGCAGTAGTTAGTTAAAAATGGTTAGGATGTTTAAACACAAATATGACAAATACAGAAATGAGGTACATATGCAGAAAACACATAGCTCATAAGATAAATTAATTTCACAGTTTATACAGCCCCCCCCTTTTATAAATATAAGCACATACGACTTCAAAATATACCATACTTTTGGAACTTACTTCTCTGAAAGCTTAATGTCTTTTAAATTTCACAGTAAAGAATTAAAGAATAATAATATCTCATTTGGTACAGGCCAAAAAATAATCTTTTAAAACCTGTGAGCAAATTATATCTAAAATATTTTAAATTTCAATCATATTGAATATTTTTGTCACATATGTATATTTAAAATAACAAGAAAGGAAAGCTAACTTCGGGCGGAGCCGAAGTTGATATACCCTTGCAGAATATTATGTACATTATATTCTCCAAAATTATTCATATGATGCATTCTTAATACTCATAAAAAATCCCAACTTCCTAACTTTAAAAACACCAAAGTTATGGCATTTCCAATCGTTCAGTTAAATGGCAGCTATAGGATATAGTCGGCCGATCCTTATGAAATTTGGTAGGTCGGATTGATTAACCAAATATAAAACCCATAGAAAATCCCAGCTTCCTAACTTTACAAACACCAAAGTTATGGTATTTCCAATCGTTCAGTTAAATGGCAGCTATAGGATATAGTCGGCCGATCCTTATGAAATTTGGTAGGTCGGATTGATTAACCAAATATAAAACCCATAGAAAATCCCAGCTTCCTAACTTTACAAACACCAAAGTTATGGCATTTCCGATCAATCAGTTATATGTCAGCTATAGGATATAGTCGGCCGATCCTTATGAAATTTGGTAGGTCGGATTGATTGGCCAAATATAACACGCATAGAAAATCCCAACTTCCTAACTTTACAAACAGCAAAGTTATGGCATTTCCGATCAATCAGTTATATGGCAGCTATAAGATATAGTCGGCCGATCTCGGCCGTTCCGACTTATATACTGCGTGCAAAGGAAAGAAGGGTGTGTGCAAAGTTTCAATTCGATAGCTTTAAAACTGAGAGACTAGTTTGCGTAGAAACAGACAGACGGACAGACGGACAGACAGACGGACAGACAGACGGACAGACGGACAGACGGACATGGCTATATCAACTCAGGAGGTGATCCTGATCAAGAATATATATACTTTATAGGGTCGGAGATGTCTCCTTCACTGCGTTGCACACTTTTGACCAAAATTATAATACCCTCTGCAAGGGTATAAAAAGGAATATAAGGGAATTTTCAAAAACTTTCCCGGATTCTGATATCCTTAAAGAGGATAAATCAAGTAGTAAATCAAGTCAAGGTTAGAAACCAATATTTTCTTTTGGCTTTATATTTTGGTTTAATTTACTTTTCCGGATTTCGTTTGGAACCCATTATAAATGATCAATTAAATATTTAAATTGAAATTGATGAAGACATACTTTTCTAATGGATTTGGATGTGAAACATTCGAAAATATTCAATCATGTCAACAATAAAATTTTCATGATTTTTTTGCGATTAAGATTTTTTACTTTTTAAAAATACTATACTAATTTGTTGAGTGCATCGAATACATTCCAGCAGCAGGACAAGTAGTTGTTGAAAGCGTCGAGCGAGTGCCCAGCCGGGAACGCCCGGCTCACTTAGCGGGCAGGAGTCGTAACTTAACTGAGGACAGGAGGACTGGAGGACCAGAGGACCCGAAGCCCGGGATCGATCGATCGGATTACCCGGCAGGCTTTTCAATTCAACAAATCCTCCGGTCGCCGCGGCAATTATATGCTCGTACCCGCTCGCATCCAGCTCCGATCTGCCACGCCCCCATTGGGCGTGCGACGCCAATTATAACCGCTGAGATCCCAAGATCCCCTGACTTAAATAAATGCGCAAGTTTGGAAATTGAAAAGGAATTAGCGGTGGGCAGGCAGCCGATCTGCAGAAATATTGTGCATAATTATATGCTAATCCATTGGCATTGAATTATGTGCGACGGTGTGTGGTCACTTACCTTTTTGGTGGGCTGGAAAATCGGGCGAAAGTGCCGGGAAATGCTTTTTCAGGGCGGCGCCTCAGCCCGTAATTGGGATTTCCCGGCTCCCTTTTTCATCTCCGGTGGCCTGCCACCCGCGGTCTGTTTGCATTGAAGTCGATCATGTAAGTAATTTCCCCTGTCCGGGGATCCGAAATCCGAAACCCCGAATTCAAATCCAAATCCACCGACAGTCGGTAGGAGATTGATTACTGTTAAGAGTGTGATAAATCGCTGTTTTTATTAACTTTTTCGGGATGACGCGGCGGAATTGGCGCTGCATCTCGGCACATGAATAAGTCCGATCTGGGAATCAGATCAGCGTGATAATGTATAATTTGTTGGAGTCTCGATCGATGTGTTATGGTGTGCTCGAAACAAAGGGGATGCCATCCAGTAAGGTTAATTGAATTTGCTGGAGAGCGGAGATCAATTTTCTGCAATGTTGAGACAGCCAATAATTTTGTACTTTACTTTGTATTATTTTACTTGAGTATAATTATTTATTACTTAATTATATTCATCAGTCAAAAATTTGGTAACAAAATGTTATTGTTTAACTTTATATATATTCGATAAAAAAATGGGCTTAAAAATATACTATCGCTTAAAATTTAGTTCGATATGGTTTGACAAGTAACAAAACTGATTTTTAAATTCAATTGAATATATTCAATTATGCAAGCCGTTTAATCAAAATTCATTTATTCGCAATAAATGACGCCCACATTTTTTTTCCCCTTGGGAATATTCCTATATTTACTAAATTTACTAAAACATTTAAAGTCTAAGAACGCTTTGCAAATTTCACGAAATAAGAGAAATATTTTTTAATTAAAAGTTCTTAAAGGGAAGTCGTAAAAGCTGAAAACAACTCCCTTTTGTACCACCAAAAATATTTAAATAGTCCGCCCATGTACCTAAAAGTATCGATACATCGATATTTACCTGTGTGACCGCAGAGCATGTACCCTCTGACGTTAGTACTTTTGCGCACTTTGGTCACATTGCAAACCAATTCCAAGTGGGACACGCTTAATTTTTTTTTTGCCAATTTGCCATTAATTCCAAGCGTCTCAGCTGTCCCAAAAAAATTGCAACTCTATTAAATGTGTTTAACCAAGCGGCCGTCGAAATCGGTGGATTTTAAAGGCTCTTAAACGGCCGTGGGAGCTCAGAAACCCACTCTCCAGCGACGATTGCACCGAAATCAGCGCCAGCGTCAGCAAAAGTTTCATTAGCAACTTGGTTATCAGCTGCGGAAACTGAAGTAGAGAGTTTGGCCATCCACCAGAACAAAGGGTAGAAAAACATAGAAACCAGTTGCCATGGCGAGTCCCAGGACGCGGAGAGTGCTCCAGGAACTGAAGCCCCAGGATGAGAACTCGGTGGGTGTTTGGTCCTTTGCACATATGTTACTAGGTGTTTCTAAGTTCTGTACTATTTCCACAGAAATGCTTCGAATGCGGCACCCACAATCCCCAGTGGGTTTCCGTGACCTATGGCATTTGGATCTGCCTGGAGTGCTCCGGCAAACATCGCAGTCTGGGCGTCCACCTGTCCTTCGTGCGATCCGTGACGATGGACAAGTGGAAGGACATCGAGCTGGAGAAGATGAAGGCGGGCGGTAATCGCAATGCCCGCGAGTTTCTGGAGGATCAGGCAGACTGGAACGAACGGGCGCCCATCACCCAACGTTATAATTCCAAGGCGGCGGCCCTTTACAGGGATAAGATAGCCACTTTGGCCCAAGGCAAGAGCTGGAATCTGAAGGAGGCGGAAACCCGAGTGGGCAGCAGCAATAGCTTCAGCGGTGGAGGAGGAGGTGGCGGTTCCAGCTACAGCAGCAGTTCTCAATCGCGTCCCAGTGCAACAGGTTATGGCGGTAATGGAGGCTATCAAAATGGGGGAGGCGGCGAAACTGGAGGCTATCAGCAGTACCAGACGCAGGAGTTCAAGGACCAGAAGGAAGAGTTCTTCAGCAAGCGCCAGGTGGAGAACGCCTCCAGGCCAGAGTAGGAACTATACCTTACCCCTCTTGCCAGCAATTTCTATATTTCATGTGTAATTCCAGACACTTGCCACCGAGTCAGGGCGGAAAGTATGCAGGTTTCGGGTTCACACGCGAACCCCCACCGAAAACGCAATCTCAGGAGCTCTTGGACTCGACGCTTTCCACTTTGGCCTCCGGCTGGAGCCTCTTCTCCACGAACGCCTCCAAGTTAGCCACCACCGCCAAGGAGAAGGCCGTTACTACAGTCAATTTGGCCTCAACGAAGGTGAGTCTTCAAAATATAACATTATTAAAATTGCATCCTTTATTTGTTTTATTTCTCCGATTTTGTTTAATTTCATTGTGATTTCTTTAAATGTATATGGATTATCTATTTGATTTAAATTAAATACTATTTTATTAATATTTCCTTAATACAGTAAATTAAAATTATTAAAAAGTTATTTAAATCATTAAATTAACTTTTTTTAGTGTTGTCGAATAATATTATTTGTAACGTGTTTTTTGAATTTTAAAATTGAATTAGAGTATTGAAGTTGTAATGCTATGTATTTTATTGCTATCGAAATTATGGTGCCCCAAATTAAATCCATAGAACCGCATTGAAATCTAAAAAGAACGAAATCTTTTGCATTTAATTTTTCCGCTTCCTTATTTGTATGATTTAATTTTGAGTTTGTTTCTTTGTTTTGGTTTGTAGATTAAAGAAGGAACTTTGCTAGATTCCGTTCAAAGCGGAGTTACTGATGTAGCCAGCAAGGTCTGTAGTTGTGGGAGCCACCCGCTTAATAGTTGAAAGCTGCTCTTAGGCTTAAATACTCACTTTATGTTTTATACAACCACAGGTCACCGATATAGGCAAAAGAGGATGGAACAACTTAGCGGGCAGCAACATCTCCTCGCCGCAGGGCGGATACAACGATCCCAATTTCGAGGACAGCGCCTACCAGCGCTCCAATTCGGTGGGCGGTAATCTGGCCGGAGGACTGGGCCAGCAGAGCGGTGTGAGCGACAGTGACTGGGGTGGTTGGCAGGAAAACGCCAACAACAAGACACACCTGACTAGCTCCAGTTCGTACCACAATCAGTTGAACACCGGCAGCGCCGGTACCGCCACCGCTGGACTCACCCGCGATGACGATTGGTCCGGTTTCGAGGCCTCCAATTACCAGAGTGCGGAGACCTCATACCAGAACGCTCCGTCCGGCGGGTCGTCAGCCCGCCGCAACATGAAGCTGCAGGACACTTCGCAGAAGCTAAGCGAGGGCTTTGAGAACCTGGATGTGAAGAATGTAAAGTCCAAACCGGCAGCCTCCACTACTTCGGGGAACAAAGCCTCCGCCGAAGACGATGCCTGGGACCTGTTGATGAACTAAAATCCAAACCGAGCCCATGCGATTGTATTTTATGTATTCCATTCAGTTTGTTGTGTCTCCTGTGTTATGTGTCTTGATGTCAGGCCGAAGCTGTTGTGCGCGCATTTAATGTAACTAACTGAATATGTATTCCCCAAAACTACCGGCTTGCTTCAACTTCAAACATAAAGTGCAACTATTTTCGATTATTTCCACAGTTTAGACCAATTTTGTATAGATCTACTTAACGAATTATTTAGCTTAAAATATATAGCCGGATTCTGAGGGATGCGATTAGAGATGAGAAAATACATATTATGTTAACAAGTGTAGATGTTGGTTTTTTATTGGTGGAGTTTTTATTTTATCTTTTTAAATAAAGTAGGGTTTATACACTAATCACAATAGCTTGCTCATCTCTAATTTAGTAGGTTTTTGTATTACCTATAGTAGTAGTATATGGTTATATGCTTTTTTTTAAATATTAAGGAAATTAATAAATTAATTTAAAATATCTAGTGTGACCTAGTTCGCCCACTACCACAATCTATCAGTGGTTCGAGGCACGGATAAGCGGATACGGAAACCTTTCCAATGGCATATTTTAGGTAATTCATTGGACGTTAAGAAGTATATCTAGATAAACTTTCGTGGTCACACTTTAAAACCCAAATTCGATTTCGCTTAAATCAAAGAGTTCTGTATGATTTCGCTTTAAGCCATAAAGCCACGGAAATAGCATAAAACCAGACTATATAATCTATAGCCCGATCAGTAGGTAAATGCCCTAAAAATAGTGTCAATGCAAATAAAGTTTATCGCTTTCTTTTGCATATCCACATTCCATTCGTGTCAGTGTGTGTGTGCATGAAAATCGAGTGCAGAACAATTTTTGCCAAATTGGCAACAATTCGCAAGCGTTTCGCGAGAAATTTGAGTCACACCCGGCTGGAGAAACTCTGAGAAAAGCGGAGAATCGAGAAATGAGACGAGAAAGTACGTTGTAGTACCGAGAATTGACCATTTTAAGCCGTGCTTGCAAGTAGAAAGTTCGAGTTGCTGGGGAAACTCTCCCTTTTCCCTTTTCTCCCCTCGAATTTTTGGAGACATGTGCGTGCGTGTGCGTGAGAAGCTGCTGGATTTTCAAGGTTTTCCCGAATCGCTTTGGTTTGGCCTTCAAATTAGCAGCGAAAATCAATGGACGCGTCAGGAGACCTTTTTCCAGACCAGAAGAAAAACTAGCCCAGATGACTTCATCACGGGGAAATACGATACGCTAAGCTTGTTTAGTTATCATTTACCCCAGACAAAACAAATGAAAACTAATGTGTACAATATATAATACCTTTCAGGCCACTCATTTTCCAGTTAATTACCTGAGGTGAACAAAATGTGCCGGCCATAGGAGCAGAGCAGCAGTTTTCCCGAACACGTAATCCCCTAGAGAAATCGAAGCCAAAAACGAGCAATCCCAGAGAAATCCATCAGCAGCCAGTAAAAAACTCTAGGTAAACTGTAAACACGAGTGTGGAGAATGGTCAGAAAGCAAGTTGGAATCGAACACAGCGCATCCTTAGCAGTAAGCAAGCAGCAGGATCAAAAGGAGCAGGATCTGGATCATAAGCAGCAGGATAAGAAGCCAAAGGATCAGGAGCAGCAACGCATCGACTTGGACTTGACGCCCGATCCGGCCAGCAACTTCAACTTCGCCCAGCAGGCGCAGGCCACCTACTCCGCCCGCACTCTATCCACCAGCTATGAGCACGGCCACAATTTCGGCCTGCAGCATGCCCATCTCGCCACCGCCAGTACGCCATATGACCTGTACGAGGTCGGCAGCTCCGGCCCCATCCTGCCCACTGAGATCCCCATCGAGGACGAGGAGCGGCTGGAACGGATCTTCAACAAGCTGGACCGCGATGGCGACGGCAGAATCGACATCCACGACCTGTCGGCGGCGCTGCACGAGTTCGGATTGTCGAGCGTCTACGCGGAGGTGAGACAGGATAATGGGGAGGGAATCAGAAATAATGTTTTCAAAGATATTTTTAAAAGTCATCTAAAAGAATTCCCTAAATTATTAGACAACTTATATTTATTTTTCCTTAAGAAAATTAGTCATCTAATTATTCCATTTTTGAACCCTTGCAAAAGATTTAAAATTAATTAAATTATTTTTCATGGCCATTTCAAAAATTGCTGCACCAAAAATTTATCAGTCTAAACATATCTTTAGAACCTTTAAAAAGTGTGAAAGTTGACCACACGAATACTCATAATCATTTGTCATTATTAATTCGTTACTAACGTCATAAAGATTTAAAGATTCACATAAAATGGTTATTTTGACATTGCAAATATGTTACTATCTTTAAAATATTTTTGAAGGATTGACGATATATATAGTCAAATTGTTGACTGGGATGTGTGCCATATGCCCGGGGCTTGTCATTTTCTTAGAGAACTGCAATGCCTTTGTTATATGTTATTCTATAGCAGACTGCGAACGGTAGAGATCAATAATATGCGGCCTTGGGCGGCGAATGTATTTGAATATCTTAATTTATACAATGTACATTATTAGCATGCCCTGATCTGGGCAAACGATTTGGCACGGTTGGTGACCCTCGGCATCCTATCAATGTGTCATATCTGTACTTGCCAAAAAAGGGATAATTAAATCAAGGGCATTGTGATTTGCCGAATGGAGAAAAGGCAAAGAGAAAATCTATTTTTGGAAGAGCACAATATTTTTGACCATAGAAATGTTTTGTTTGACGAGCAGGTTCTGTTTTGCTATTATTACCTGCTTTGTTTACATTTTAGACAAAACAAACTAGTAGTCATTGCTCATGAAGATATAGATAGTATATGTACTCAACCAGATATTATTTCAAGCTGATATAAAGTTCTAAAGTCTGATGTCAATAATTTTATGTATTAGTCAAACAGAAAATTTCAACATTCCGATATGAAAATAATACTAATTGGTTTCCTGTTATCCTCACATTTATTCGAATCATATATTGCTTCTAGAAAAAACCCCTCTTTTTTTTGTTATCTTGTATAAATCCATCAGATTGTGAAACATGCAACAAGTATTCCAAGAACATCGAAAAGCAATCAGAATTGGATTAGCTGGTAAACAGAGGGTTAATGTGCAGACGACTAAGGCGATTTTTATGGTTTCTGCGGGCGAAGCCCTCGTGATACGGGAAATTGATTTGCTTTTACGATTCAGGTCGATACTCTAGTCGGAGGCTCATTATGCCCGAAGATTCCAAGCGTGTGACATTAATTGCTAGTAGAATTCCAGGAGTGATTAAGAGCCGTAATATTCCGTACCACGTTTCCTTTACGACAAAAAAATTCAGTAATTTTCCTAACTTATTTTCTGTTCTACTATTTTTTCAGAAATTCCTCCAGCAGTCGGACAAGGATCAGAGTGGAAACGTGGGCTTCGCCGAGTTCCTGCATTATGTGCGGGAGCATGAGAAGAACTTGGTCCTGCAGTTCTCGCACCTAGATAAAAACCGTGATGGTGGGTTGTAACCACATTTTAATTAAATTATCTCTTACAAATTGAATTTATCGTAGGCAAAGTGGACTTAGAGGAGCTGATTTCCGCATTCAAGGACCTGGGCCTAGACATCGATTTGGATGAGGCCAGAAATCTGCTTACCAGGTTGAGTACAACACTTATAATCTGACTTGCATTTGTTTATATTTACGATGTACCTTGCAGAATGGATAAGGACGGAAGCCTGAACATTAGCTTTAACGAGTGGCGCGACTTTATGCTCCTGGCGCCCTCCACGGACATTCACGACTTGATTAAATTTTGGCGGCACTCTACTGTAAGTATTTCCAAAAAATACTCTAAAAGCATAGTATATTTAGTGCAAGTTTATGAGTTAACAAGCAGAGAGCAGTGGGTCTTTAAAGGGTCTCACTGCCCATCTGTTCTAGTTTTTGTTCTACTGTGTTATTTTTACATAGACATGTACACTACATTTAGTACCTTTGTAGCTGTTTAACGTTCTCGTATTTAAAACTAATTGCCAACTTTTCCCCTTCTTATCCTTGCCCATACCCGAAACAAAATTAAACCAACAAAAACACTCCACACCCTAACGATCTAAACTGTCGAATGTAGTTCCTACACCCACACTACTCCTGACTAACTGAGGAAGATCTAAAGGTACATATCCGTCAAGTTACATATTACGATTACCATTAATATTGTTGTAGTCCCTCCCACGTAGAAGCAGGGCACTCCAAAACACATACGTACATACGTAAACGCCTGTACACTGAACACACCCATCCCACCCAACGAGAAAGGCTTTATCATCATTCTCATTCGCTAATCAGCCAGAAATTATATTGCCTGCATGCATGTGTATTGTTTCCGTAGTACTACTACCTTCACCAGAGAGAACATTTTAATCGGACATTTTCGAGGACCGAAGCTCCTAAAAGTCGTAGCTTTTCGGGCTCTCTTAACACACTCTTTAACTGGGACTGACGTAAATGAATCCCTTATTTCATCAGACTATTTAAACTGCCGCTTTATGGGATGTCCGTCTTTTATATCGTTCCGCCCGCTTATCAGAATAATTTTTTCATTGTCATAAAGATCCAGCATTTTCTGTTACACAGCGAAAAAATAGGTCATATTGAATAGATACAATTTGGGTAGAGGCAAACTCATAATTTATAAATATATTATCTGACTTAAAGATCACACTTTTCAACTGAATTGGAATAAATAGTATTTACCAGTTTTAAACTACTTAACCGAATGCAAAAATTCGTGACTCATTTGCTGAAAAAGTTTTTAATTGGTTTTCACTAGTAATTAAACGGTTAACAGCTGCGCTAAATCATTGAAGCTCGCAAAACTCTATTCCTAAAAGCTTCCCTAAAAGGTAATTAAATTAGTCAATAAACGCAGCTGTACTAGAAAATTTAAATAGTATGCCAATTCCATTTTAACTTTCCTTGTGCACAAGTGTTATTAGAAAAATTGCTTGATAATACTTTATTATTGATAAGTTAAGCTCGGGAATTCTTTTTTTTAAATCATTGCATTATCTAATTTCTTTCCGTGTGCTGAGGCAGGTGACGATGTCATCGCTTTGTTGTCTGCGTAATCATTTTGTTTACTTTTATCTTTTTTTGCTCACTGTCACTGTTAATTTCCACAATTTATATCAATGTAACTGAAAAATCACATCAAATGAACGCCTCTGAAATTCAGAGTCTGAATTCTTGCCATTTTCGAGGAATCCCAGAGCTCGTCGATCGTTTGGAACAACTTATTCAAATT